GCAATGTAGTATCAGTTTCTCGTATCGACACATGTCAAAAGTACGATTTGTGATATAAAGCGAAGTGGGTATGTGATAAATATGTTTTGATTAAACAAAGAAAACGTTTTAAAGTGTCAGTTTATTAGCGCACACGAGAACAGTCTTAGCACACTCCACGACAATGACAGTGACGGTGGGTTCACTCTTGGCGCTGCCTCAAAACCTCTCCATTCCCCCTATGTCGCGACGTAAATAATTGCGGTCGTACCGAGCGCGCCACTACATCTCAACAATTACGTACACTTTATTTTGAGCCACTCCACTTTTACTGTCTAACTTCAAGACCTTTTGCAATTATCGTAAGATGAAAGAAACGTTAAGTTGACAACAACTAAACGGTTTTTTCGTTAATTCGTTTGAACCGTATTATTTAAATCACCGTATAGACATGCAAGCATTCACTGGTAGTGCCTATTGTATATATGTAATAAATGCTACAAAAAGAAAAACTTATGAGGTAGATGCGGTCTTATCGCTAAAGAGCGATCTCTTCCAGTCCACCTCGAGCTTTTTTTTTATGTGAAAAGTTGCCAAGCGAGCAGACGGTTCACCTGATGTTAAGTGAATACCGCCGCCCATGCACATCTGCTACACCCGAGGGTTCCAGATGCGTTGACAACCTTTTGAAAACTGGACTTGACAACCTTTTGAAAGCTAAAAATATTATTACTTTGGATAGTGCAAATGATGAACTAACATACTAATACCTAAATAAACTAAATGACTACATTATATTATTATAATTTATATCAAATAATAACATACAATAGACATACATAAAACTTAACATATACTATACAATAAATTACAAAAATATATGCAGGGAGAAAAAAATTAAAAAGATACAAATATCGTCAGTGACAAACACTGTCACACAGTGACAGATAGCAGTTTTAAACGTCAGTTTTAAACTTGCCTAACGTATTTGAACGATGGATTTGTGGAGGAAGCTCGTTCCACTTGCTTTGACGGCTAGGAGTTCTTAAAATAGTTCGTCTGGAAAGTATGCGAAACGATAATAAGCTTTCCAGCTGACAGAACTTGGTCATGACAGACCAGAAAGATTTCTGTCATGACCAAGAAATTTTAAATTTTCCTTCAAATAACTCGACGTCACAAGATTTAACAATACACAATACAGAAGAGAAACGAATGGGTAAACACTTGAGCCTTATACGAAATTCGGAGACATGGATATACTTGGACAGACCAAAAATAAATATAATAGCAAAGTTTTGAATTCGCTCAATCTTGTCAAGTCGATCCTCGGTTAAATTAATATAGCGTGCGTCCGCATAATCGAGAATAGTAAAGGAGCAAGGACTGTGCTAACATAATGTTAGTAGGAAAGGGGAAAAAAAACGTAAGGACCGCAGAGAATCTATTTCTGCAAATGTCTTCCTGCTAACATTCCATAACTGACCACGAGAAAATAGAATCGAAGTGGACACCAAGGTTGACACCAAGACTTGCAAGGATTAATCTTAAGTCCCTCTTAATTAATGATATAGAGAACTCATTTTGTGAAAGATAAAATAAATGAAAATGGTAAAGAGAAATGGAGACAACACACCACCTTGAGGCACTCCATCTGGAAATTCACTCCATGAGGAAAAATACCATCAATACAAATACAAACCTTGCCGTCGGCCACTAAGATAACTCTGAAACGAAGTAGCCACTGGTGGATATATTTAAGCAGAACGTAACAGACTCAACAGAAAGTCATGATCAACATAGTTGAATGTATTACTGCTATTGCCTTTATGAGAAAGAGATTGCATTTTCAACGCTCTTTAACACATGTTTTCTCCTCCTTCTCCCTTCTACTTCTGCAGGTTCATGCATACTTATTAATTTCAAAGATATTCTCAAGTTTAATTAATCTTACAATATTACTGTTAAAATCAAAATGAATAGTATTTTTATTTAATTTAGGAAAGCTTCAAGCTCGTACATAGGTATATAGACTCATATAAACATATATGATTTACATCTTGATTTAACCGAGGACCAACTTAACAAGCTTGAGCGAATTCAAAACTTAGCTATCAGATTTATTTTCGGTCTACGCAAGTATGACCATGTCTCCGAATATCGTACAAAGCTCAAGTGGTTACCCATCCGCCTTCGCCGGAATCTGCATATTGTTTCTCTTCTGTACTGTGTTTTGTTCAATCCTATGACTCCGAGTTATTTGAAGGAACAGTTTAAATTTCTTGGTCATGACAGACCAGAAAGAGTTCTCTGCGATCAGCCAGTGAACTCATTATCACCCCGCATACTTTCCGGACCAATTATTTTAAGAACTCTTTTACGGTCAAAGCCATTTGCCTATGGAACGCGCTTCCTCCACACATTCAGCGCTCAAAAACGTTACGCAAGTTTAAAACTGACGTTAAAAATTATTATCTGTCACTGTGTTCAAGCTGATTATCACCGACGACATTTGTATATTTATTTTTTTATTCTTTTCTTCCTGTATATATTTTTTTTAAGTTATTGTACATATGTTTAGATTTATGTATGTCTATTGGATCTTATTTCGTATATATTAGTATATTATTATTATACAAAAATACAACATATTCGTTTAGTTTATTTAAATATTAGTATGTAAGTTTATCATTTACACCACCTACCATTGTCCAAATTAAATATTTTTAACCACAAGGTTGTCTGGAAGAGATCGCTCCTTAGCGATAAGACCGCCTTATTGTTTATACCTCTTAAGTTTATAGTTCTGTAACATTTCCTTTCATGTTTTTTTGGTGTTCAATAAAGAATATATAATAATATGTTCATAATGCTTCTAATTTTGTTACAATACCGTTCACTGAACTGATTTTATCTATTAAATTATCTTAAATAAAATTCGTTTGAAATGTCTAAAAATCTTATCTTTCTAATCTAATCTAATCTTTCAAATACAGCATAAAATTAATCAAATCAAACACGGTTTATACCGTTAAAGCTCTGTAATAATATTTAGTATGCTACCAAAAAGAAATTAGTTAGAGCGTAATGGTAATTTGTCAATTCAAAGTCCGGGATTCGAAGTTTAAAAATTTAAGAACAAGTTATGCCCCGGTACGTACCTGGAAGGTGTAAGCTGAGGATAACGCGCGGGACCGTCCCGCCGCCCACTGGCCTTCAAAGAGGCTTCAGTCGGTACCCGTCAGCCGGAGGCGGAGGTTGTCTTTACCCTCCTAAAGCCAAAATTATGTCAACGTACAGTAGGGACAACTTAAAATGAAACTCGACTCGTACTACTACACTTAACGAGGAACATAATAAATTGTTACTTACATTATGCTGTAATACCGGTCCTCGAAGTTTATTACACAGTTGTTTAACTTTAATTCGCAATAATTTTGTGAATATTATGTGACGTGATCTTATAACTACTCGTAAGTAATGTATTTGATATTAAGTTTCATAATTTTTTGTTGAAAATTCTTAAATTGTTGTTGAACCCGCACTGGAACGGCTAAATTATTCATAAAGTTTTCTGGTTAAATGTTGTTTCGGTTACGATAAGTTACTTTTACCATAAATATGAATATACTATGTATTATAAACGAGTAAGGTAATTGCTAATATATAGTATGTCCACTTTCATGATTTATAATACAAGTTAGAAATAAAACTATCAAAGCGAATGTCTGAATTGTATATTAATGCAAGAGCTGATAGCTGAGCTGATATCAAACGAGCTAAAATATTTTACGAACGAACTTTTTTCACAAAAATAAAATTAACTGTTTAACCTTATTGACTAATAAAAAGTTATTCATTTATTTACTTTTCATAAATGATAACTTAATCTAAGAGTATATCTGACGCCCAGTGAAACCTTGTCATAATGAGACCTGATGTACCTAGATGGCAGATGTTTATTACCAAAGAGAAAAATAATTTTGTGGTATGCAACACATACAACTTCAATTTTTCAATATTGATATGTATGTATACGTTCATTATTGAGTATATACTAAATGATTGTAATATAACATATATAAATTCCTCCATAGAATACATTTTCTGCAAATCTTGCGGAAATCATAAAATATTTCAACGTCCTCGTAATATCGTAATTCAATACGCTTTTGTTGAATTTTGTTAATATTAAATCCAATTTTAAATATTCAAGCTATACCAGTTTGTTATGTTTCCCGTAAATAGTTATTGGCTGGGTGTATTTTTTTACATTATTGTCAAATCCATTTAGTTTCATATATGGCAAAATGTAATCATATTATTCAAAGTTTTTTTTATGTGAAAAGTTGCCAAACAAGCAGACGGTTCAACCTGATTTAAGTGAATACTAACGCCCATGGACATCTGCCACACCCGAGGGTTACAAATGCGTTGACAACCTTTTTAAAATTGGGCTCCAGCTACCTCACTCACCAGACGAAACGCGAAAGTATTTGTTATACTTCCCCTTTACGCTGGTCTTCTGTGAGGTCGTGGTACCCGGACAAGCCTGCCCATTCGTATGGCAAGCTACTGCATGGCCCTACCACCACAAGAAGATGCAGTCACAATCCGTCACACGACTTGTTTCCATAGTGGTTAAGAAATAGATTTCTATGATGTTTTGTCCCTGTCTCGAGTCTTCATAAAATGTTTTAAAAATATATAATAAAAGTTAATCGTCGTGATAGAAAATAAGTTTGATAATTGGCATAATAGGCGTAATATATAATTGGCATGCTACTATTAAAGTAGTAGTATCGGTTACAATCTTTGCAAGACTATTTCTATAATGGTCATGAAATAGGTTCCTATGAGTTTTTGTCCCTATCTTGAGTTCTTGTAAATGTTTTAAAAATATGCGATTAAAACTTTATCGTTATGATTTGAAACGAGTTCGAAAATTGGAATATTAGGCTTAATTTAAATAGTTGGCATACTACTATTGCATATTATAGTGAAAGTTTCTATTTATAGTGATGGTGTTGGAAGATGTACTCAAGGGGCGAGTGTTCCAGAGAGTAGCACTAGTGGCTTGTCTTCTGATTGGCACACTCACCCCTGAGCCCCTAGAGCCCTGTACACGGAGCCCATTGTGCTCATGCCGTGCCTCCCACATGTCATGTATTGCCGTCCCGTTGCACCGATTTCCAGGTAAAATCCAAAATTATGAAAATATTTTTAAAGAGCTGACTAGCGCTATAAATCTGTTCCTCCAAAGGTGAATGACGAAGTTGACCTATGCCCTAGGTCCACACCCTCCATTTGCGCCAATGTTTATTTATGAATTTCTTTGAATAAGTAGGAGCTTAACAGGCTTAAATTGAGTTATATATGTTACCCTACCATAATACTAAAAAAAACAGCTTGAACAAATACGCCGTCTCTTTGTGTACCCGAAGTAATAATTATTAAAATTCGTAAAATTTATTGTGTATGTTTTAAATATGTTTATTACAATTATACTTCGTAGATATTATATTTGTAGAGTAAATCAAAAATTAATCATGTTTGCAGAATGGCCTCATATAGAGCTCCAACATTTGGATATAAGCATGTCAAACCTAGAAATAATTTCAGAAAGTGCTCTAGATGGTTTACACTTACAAACATTAGTTTTAGTAGCAAATAGATTACATCATATCGAAAACAATGCGTTCAGGTAACGTATTACAAATATTTATCTATATTAATATTTTTAATCAAGACATACTTTTTTCATATATTTTTTATTTATAGTTCAATGGCTAATTCTCTTGCATCACTTGATCTCGGCTACAACGAATTCACTGAAATCCCTCATCAAGGCCTAAAGGATTTAAAAGTTTTAAATTGGTTGAACCTGCAGAAGTGAGTAGTTTTCTGATTAACGTTGTGATTTACCATTTCTCTTTGTTTATTTTATATTTATTTAACTTTGTTTCAGCAATAATATAGCATGCATAAAATCTGATATAAGATGGTACCATTTGGAAGAAACCTTAACAAGTTTGTCGTTTAGTAATAATCAAATAGCTGAATTGAGTGAAAAATCATTAACAAATCTGAATCACTTATTGCAACTAGATTTAGAAGGAAACTACTTACGAACGATCAACTCAAACTCTCTTCCACCATCTTTAACAGTACTTAAATTGTCTAATAACTTTTTAAAAATTATACCCTGTGATTTGGTACATAATGTTCCTAGATTACAATCATTACATGTACGACACAATATGATAAATTATGATCATAATTCTACGTGCATGAATAACAAAAGTAAAAAGTTAGAAAAACTAGATTTAAGTAATAACAAGATGCACGATAAATCAGACCTTGCTTTTCTAAAAGAATTCCAAGTGAGACAAATTATTTTCGATTTAAACGAACTTACTCATGTTCCGAAATTATTGTATAATAGTAATCGCATTGAAAGACTATCTATATCTTATAACAAGCTAAGTGTTATTAATCACGATGTTTTTATTGCAATCAAAAATTCTTTGGAACATTTAGAATTAGAACACAACGAATTATCACACTTACCAGAAAGCATTGCACAGGTTGTTCGACTACGACATTTATCATTAGCTTACAATAAATTTCAAGATTCTCCTGCTCTTCCAAGTCGAATTCAAACATTGTCCCTTGCCGGTAACTTTTTAACAGCAATACCATCTGCACTTCAAATGCTTGAGCCCGGTTCTATTCGTTACCTAGACTTGAGCTACAACAGAATATCTAACTTGTATACTAATGAATTCCTTGAGTGGTCTGCGTCTTTAATAACTATTATATTAAAAGGAAATAGAATTTCTCAGATTTACCACAACGTTTTTCCTGCACAAATACCCATAAAAGAAATTAGTCTGAGTTTCAATGATTTATACTATATTCACCCGGAGTGCTTTTCTAATCTAACAGGTTCTTTGAACATACTAGAGTCTTCATCGACACTTTTCAGTGGACATTTCCCTTTTGAGATTAATGAAGGTTTAGAAAAACTAAGTTGGCTATCGTTTGATAATAATGATTTCCATATTCTAAAACTCTCTAATATGGCTGCGTTACCACAATTGAATTATTTAAATTTAGATAATAATAGAATCGTAGATATTATATTAGAAGATTCCTATAACACGTCTTTAACTATAAGTAATCTTAGAATGTCGTACAATTTTTTGAGTTATGTTCATGACATGACATTTTATTTTATGCCTGAATTAAGAAATTTAGATCTGTCTTTTAACCGAATTAACAACTTAACTAAACATTCTTTCTATGAATTAAGAAATTTAAGATATCTATCCCTTGCCAATAATATAATTAGCATTGTACATGATGATACTTTTGTTAATTTACCAAAGTTAGAAATATTAGAATTACAAAGTAATAATTTTACATGTTTCTCCCTTAACTCTTTAAAAAATATTTCTAATATTCACACTATGTTAACTTTAAATATAAGTCATAATCATATAACACATTTAGAGGGAATTTCCGATATTCCTATAAGTATTTTTGATGGTTCTTATAACGCTCTTATTGATGTGCCAAACAACTTCTTTACTTCCATGGAATCTTCTATCCGGCAAATTATCTTATCTCATAATGAAATCACAAATATTCCAAACGAAGTTTTTGGAGAGTCGATGTTTTTAGAAATATTAGATTTGCATAAAAATAAAATAAATATTATCAAACGTAAGTCTTTTACACGTCTTATATCTTTACAGATTTTAGACTTTTCATATAACGCCGTTTCCCAGTTATCTGTTGAACAATTTTCTAATTTAAGTAGATTAAAATATTTAAAAATGGATCACAATAACTTAAGATTGCTCCCTAGGGACGTTTTTAAATACACAATTATCGAACATCTTGATATAAGTTATAATGAAATTTCGTTATTTCCTGTAACCGCTCTCGCTCAAGTAGGTTTTACTCTTCGATTTCTTGATTTATCTCATAATCGAATTGAATACCTCGATAATAACATATTTCGAAACACACAGTTTTTAACAACTCTTAATTTGGGAAATAATTTATTCACAGTACTTTCAGATAACACATTTTCCAGCCTCGGTGCTTTGCGTCAGTTAGATCTTAGTTTTAACTCATTAAAAGCTAATTTTAAGGAGTTATTTCATAGCCTACAAAACTTAAGGCATTTAAATCTCGCGAATGCGAGTTTAAAGTCTGTGCCTTATCTTCCCTTGTTGAACTTGACTACGCTCAATTTAGCATCTAATAATATTGCCAATTTTAAAGAAACTGATGTCAAACATCTCAGTAATCTTCGACACTTTGATATAAGTCACAATCATCTAACATCTTTAGTGCCAAAAATGTGGTTTCACCTTAGCAATTTAAACTCATTAGATATTTCATATAATCCGATTGAAAGAATAACTATGAATAGTTTTAAATGGTTGAGTAACTTGTCACACTTAAATATTGTTGGGCTCAATCAATTAGATGTAATTGATCACGATTCCTTCCGTCCCTTGATATCTTTACGATCTCTACAACTTCAAACCTGTTCTACCATTAAACATTCGAAGTATCATATATCTAATTTAACATCTTCATTGCCCTCTTTAAGTAAATTAACAATTTATTGGACTAATGAACAAATGGACAAGCAATTGCACGACATAGATGCCAGAAATATACGTTACTTGGAAATTAAAGGCGCATGCTTACGAAATATATCAGACGATGCATTTAAGTCATTTGCACAAAATCAAGAAATCTTTATCAAGATATCGGATACTTCGATAACAAAACTACCAAACAAATTCATGAAACATCTTAGTTTGGTCCCTCAACTCGGAGTCGACATCAGTCATAACAAAATTAAAAATCTTAATCCAGCCATCTTTTATCCAAATTTTACGAGTTGGAGCCACGTCGCTACTAAACTGTTATCAGGTATGTTTCTCTTTAGGACACATTCTTTTTACACAACGTTCTCTAGTCCCAAACTAAGCAATGCTTGTACTATGGGTACTAGAAAACTGATAGACATACTTAAACATACTTTTCTTTTGTAAATATATACATATATAAACACCCAGACACTAGAAAAACACTATGCTCATCACACAATGTTTTTCCAATAGTGGGAATCGAACCTACACCCTCTGGCGCAGAAGGCAGGTACACTACCGACTACGCCATTCGGGTCGTCAATATCGTGTGATTTTTTCTTGTGAAAATATGTTTAAGCGAGCTGGCGCTTCACATGATGTTAAGTGATATGAATATATGCCGCCCATAAACATCTACAAAACTTTAGGGATTTTTAGATGCGAGGAAAATTTATTAAAGAGCCCCGGTTACCTTATTCACCAGACGAATCGCGAAAATATAATATTTCCACTTCACGTCAGTATTCCGTGAGGCTCCTACCCTTCCCATGCCTGCTCATTCGGGCAACAGTAAAAGCTATTTCTTGGCTCTACCACACAGAAATTGATGTAATATTAACATACGCCAATATTAATTCAAAGTACAATGTACTAATAACGGTGGTAGAGCCATCGAGCTGCCTCGGCTGTTGCACGAATGGGCAAGCCCGTCCGGGTAAGTACCACGACCTCACAGAAGACCAGCGTAAAGTGGAAGTATGACAAATACTTTCGCGTTTCATCTGGTGAGTGAGGTAGCCGGAGCCCAATTTTCAAAAGGTTGTCAAGGCATCTGTAACCCTCGGGTGTAGCAGATTTCAATGGGCGGCGGTATTCACTTACCATCAGGTGAACCGTCTGCTCGTGTGGCAATTTTTGACATAAAAAAAAACTTAAAAAGATTATAATTTATTTCATGGTTTTCAAAATCTAGTAATCTAGTTCTTAAAACTTAACTCGCTATATATATATCAGAGATTTTATTTGTTTTATTTTTTTTTATTTTTGGAACAAAATAAATTGTCCAATTATTTATTGTATGTATACGAAAATAGCATGAATCTCGAATGTATTGTTGAAGAATTTACTTATATTGTAATAACATTTATTAAAAATAGTAACATTTTTAAGAAAACCAATCTAATTACTACAGGTGGTCTCATCCTTACTGGTAATCCATTGGTTTGCGAGTGTGAGCTGAATTGGCTGGGTGCTTGGCTTCGTCGCTGGTTCCAAGAGAACGAAGCTGGGACGGAACTTAGGCGCGCTGTTCGAGATGCTTACTGTGTGGATAAATATGGCCGCCACGTGCCCCTCTTACAGCTACGCGCCGACGAGGCTGAATGCCACGCAAGTGCATTGTCCAGTGACGCGCAAACACATTATTCAAACACCCTTTATATTGTCGTCGTTTCTCTCTGGATACTCCTATTAAGGTGATAAATATTATTGAACCAATAAACTAAAGCCTAGGTGTGTATTTGAAGAAAACTTTATTTTAGATCGCTTCCACGTTATTAATTATTTATTATTTATTAAATGCGATACTGTGACATAACTTAAATATTTTTAGTTTAACCAAAACTTATTATTATGGTAATGTATATAATGTAAAATCAAAATCTTTTCCATTTAATTCAATAACTACAAGTAGCTATTTTATTTTGTCGATTTAGTTTTGATGTGTTTTGTTATTAAACTCATATTCACCCCATATGTAAAGTAGCAAATACATTCAAATGAATAGTTTATAACTCTAGTAAATAATTTGATTTGAAAATATGTAAATATGTAAAATAAATATTTTATAGAAATGAAGATATTCATTTTCTTTTCCTTTTAATTTAGTTTTATTCTAGGACAATAAATCCCAAGTACACGCAACCAATAAGTAGGTAAATTTGTTTAAAAATTCAAAATATACGCATCATCCATCTTATTGTGAAAATTTGTTATTGTTACATCAATAATAAAACATTCAAGAATGAAATATTCTGCTATAACTTTATTTATACTTTATAATCTTTATTATATTGCCTTATCCAGTTATTAATATTTTTTTAAATATTGAAAGAACGAATTAATAAGAATATAATATAATTGAATGAATAAGATTTTTAATTTCTTTAATTTTTTTTTTATGTGAAAAAGTGGCAACGAGCAGGCGGTTGACATGATGTTAAGTAATAATTGCTGCCATGGACATTTGCAACACCCGTAGGGTTGCAAATGGGTTGCCACCTTTAAATAATGTGGACCACGGCTACTTCTCTCACCAGACGAAATACAGAAGTGTAACACTTCTACTTTGCGCCGGACCCAGTCAGATAATAGCTACCGATCGAGCCAAAGTCCGGCCCTCTCGGGCACCCTCGAATCGGAATGCTAAACGCGTGCTGAGTGATAGCCCAAGACGAGGTCCCCTCTCGGGGACCCTTGAGCCTGATCACTCCATGGAGCGCCCGCCAAAGCGCCCTAAGAGCTTGGCGGCCTCCCAAACCGGTAACAATAATAGCGTGACGGCCCGAGCCGAGGCTCCCCCGGGAGCCCTCGAGCTTAGTCACCATAACGCGTAATAATAGTACGCCGAGGTTCAGGCTAGGCGCCTCGTGCGCCAGGCCACCTCAAGTCCGTCGGAACTGTAAAGGCCCCTAAGGCCAACAGTGGCTCATCCAGCCCAAAAAAAAAAATAAAAAAAATTTGCGCCGGTACTTAACCGGACGGATCTGCCCAGTCGTGCAACATCGAGAAAACTGTTTCGTGACCCTAGCACAGTATGTAGCAAATATAGGGATTTAACTCTTACTATTCCTTACTACTTTATATTTTTTACTATCATACCACAAAAAAACTATCTGATTATGTACATACGAACTATTTATGTCATTTAGTACTAATTGCACCATACTCTTAACAAATTTTGTCTTTTAAATTATAGAAGAAAATGTTGATAGAAATGGGTGAAAAAAAATAGAAACATGCTATTTTTTTTTTTTGGTTTCATAATATTCATATTTTTTATTTCAGGAACGTATGCTAAAAACAATAAAGCCATTTATATGAATTAAATGATACATGTCTGTCATTGTGCGCGAAACACGGAAAACGTACTGGATAGATTTCAAATAATTCTTGTTTATTTCTGAGATATTTGGCCCTTATCTAAAAAAAACGTATTGTGATTACTTCATTTTATGTAAATTCGTTAGAGTTTTAAGAAGTAATGATTTTTATGAGTAGTTAAGTACACTTCGAGTGATATGTTTTCTTGGCGTTGAAAAGGGTGACCGGTGTAGTTGTTAATATAATAAGTTAAAGGCTGGAGTCATAGCAGCATTAATTTTTTTTTTTAATTTATCTATTAACATTTTAGTTTCAGTGTAGACCGGTAGCATTAGATATAAAAACAAGAATATCGTAAATTTTAAATGACAAGGACAACTAGCCTCGCTAAAATTTTCGAAAGAGAGTGTCGGCATATTGTAAAGCAGCTCACTAGGTGTTGCCAAGCAATGCGAAGATTAAGATTATTACCTTATTATATATATTATTACCAACAAAATTAGTAATAAAGTTCTGAATTTACTCCTAGACTCGCCCATTCATATTATATATAAACAGTTATTAGTGAGCGTTATCAATGCCTTTCTCTCCAGATACCACTTCTCGAATCCACTAGGGCATTAGCTAAATCACCCAAACAGCCTCAAGGAGGATTAAGGGGAGGAAACTGTTAGGGCACATCATTCTCAACAGATTTGAACAAAAATTCATATCCAGTACACAAGTCCAATTAATTCATCCTTGTCTATAACCACGGCGAAACTGCCATAACGCCACAAAAGGCGCCTGCCTGCCGGCTGCCTTCCAAGCCGGGTATCACCGCCCCCAGTTAACGGTTGACACAGTCAATGGTATTCCGTGCTCCGGTTCGTACCGGATTCCGATGGACCATAGGTGGTTAGGACATCCCTTGATGAACGTTGAAGACAATGTACGCATGAGCCTATGTGCTAATATACCCAGTACTTACGATACACCTCGTGGGATTGCCATATCCCACCAGGTATATCGTATATATTGGCGAAAGTTTGTATGGATGGATGGATGTTCGTTAGTCACGCAAATACTTATACAAAATATATCAGAATAACTCATAGGCTATAATTTTAAAATAGATTGCGAAAATAGATTGTACATACCACAAAAAAAACTGACTTCATTTGTGTCTTAAAAATGTTTACTAAAATAAGTGAAAACTTGAATTTCAAAATAAAACGTATTATCTAAAAAAAATCTTCAATTGATGGAATTAAAACCTGCCCTAGGTAAGTTATGTATAAGGAAATTAGTTGCTGGGCCTAAACTAGATGTTATTGTGAAATTCCTAAAATTCGCTATAGCTACATTTTCACAAGCCTAGGATATTTTTGAATTTGCATTGTGATTTGGTTACTTGTTAGGAATAGTAAACAAAACCTTAATTGATTTTTTTATTTCACTCTTAGTTCGTGTTCCTATAATGCTTTTAAAAAAACTTACTTCACCAATATTGTGCAACGGCGGATTGCATTTTCAGTTTCTTAAAGTAATTTCCGTACAATGGCAAATAATTGAAGCTGTCATTCTGTCTGGGTGTCGCTTTTTTAATGTGAGAAAGTGGTAAGTTAGCTTTCGTTTCACCTGACGTTATGTGATTACCATTGCCCATGGACATTCACAACACTTGTAGGGTTGCAAATGCGTTACTACCATTTAATAAAGTGAGCTCCGGTTACCTCACTTGCAAAACGAAACGCAGAAGTATAATACGTACACTTTTGCGAGGCCATGGTGCTTTCCCGGATGGGTCTACCAGTTCGTGCAACAGCTAAGACTGTTGCGTGGCCCTACCACTGACACTGGCTCAGGTAAAAGTACGAATATTCTGTGAATACCATTCATTCCCAGCAGCTTCCCTCCATTCCATTTCAAGCTCACAAATTTCTGGCAGCAGCTTTCTTCGTGCTGACTATAAATAAGTCTCAGGGACAGATCCTAAAGACAGTTGGGGTTGACTGTTCATAAGGCAAACACAAGATTATGATATATAAAAACATGTTTTGTGTATATCTTTGTCTGTCTGCCTTTCTGTCTGTCTTTCTGTCTGAATGTTTCGCCTTCAGCCTATTCTACGCAGACGTAGTCGCAGGCAGCAGCTAGAATTTACAAAATTCTACCCGTAATGAGTTATGATATTGTAGATTATTCTAAGACGTCATAAGATAAAATAAAGAGAGAAGATGTAAAATTACGGTATATTTTAGAAAACTCTTTAAACAAAGATCGAGCAATAACTCATTTAATGCCTATTATATAAGAGCTTCATCATTTCACATAGTTAAATTTCATTTTATTTTCACTCTCGTAACCGTCTAAGTCTCAAATACAAGCAGAATACCAATTCCATATTTAATTTATTTTTATTACATTCTTTATCAACAGAAGATACGATAAAATTAAATGAAAACGAGACCGTATTTCTGTTGTTGGCAGCGACTAATTCTATTTGCACTTGTACAAATACAGTTATGAGGATTAGTTTTAATTTCATTTTGTACCTTGGCTACGGTTGGCATAAGCCTGAAGCCCGCATATGTCCGATCTGAAATATGATAAAGTCTCAGTGAAGAAGCCGGGCTGTCAGTTCTATTACAATTCTAATTCGCATAAGATCCTCCTAATTAAGTTAGCCTTTTCAAAAGTAATACACATAATTTCACAAACTGATAAATATCACACGCAAGTAGCCTTAGACATTATTTCAATTTTTTAACTCTGAAACCAAAGTTAAATAATGTTTTGTGATTCGATCACATAACATTATTTAATTCGACCATAGTAGAAAACGTAATTAATTATTCCATTTTTTCTTTCTTTCACTTTTATATGTAATCATAATAAAAAATAATTCAGTATTATTAAAAATGTAGATAAGAAACTAATTGTTTGAAAAATGAATTTATTAATTACACAAAAGCTTGTCATATTGGTTGTTTTTTTGGTACTAAAAATGTCAATTTTAAAATAATAGAAGAAAATGGCTCAACTTCAATTGTAAAAAAGTTAAAATATTTTATATGTATTATCAAATATTTTAGCAATCAATTTGTTGATCCAAAGTTTAAAAAAAAGGATAATCATTCATTCATTAATACGAACAATGCATATTTGTGTAACAGCTAAGACTTTTACAATAGTCCTGCCACATTGAATTACTACATAAGTATTTATTATATATGTATTATACATATTTTTGAGATAAATATCTTAGATTACATAAATCCCACCTATGTGTAGACGGCAAAACATGTAACTCGTGTTGTCAATAATATTAGTTTTTTTACAATCCGCCACTTGATTGAACTAAAACCTCTTTCGAAACATAGACTAAGCCA